CCGTACATAGCCTCGAGAACACGTGTCATTACATCGTAAATGGATCCATCCTGACTGACCGTTTCCCAATGTTAATCGATCGCGTGCATCGCTTGGATCCGGACCTCTGGTCGCAAGATCCAAGATCGACGGAGGAAAATGTCAAGATTAAACTCAGCGACGAGGACTCTTAAGACATTCGATACAGTCCAGCATACCATGACTACACGCTCCGTCGCGTTTCTTCACCGATGCTTGTCACTTAGTGTCCTCTCTCTCTCTCTCTCTCCCGTTCTTATCTCTTTATAGTCACCCCTTCTTCAGACTGCTCACTCTCGGCGAAACTCTGCGTGTTACGTCAATGGCAGGCCGACCTCAAGCCTTCCAGCTAACCCGGCATCATCGCGATGTCTTCCTCCTTGGTCTCGTCGGTGACGTCACGCTGCTGCCCTACTCTTCGCTCGGATAAATTCATATCGTCGTGCGGGCACATAATAACACATCGATTATCAATGATCGACGTCATCCGCGACTTTTCTCGCTCAGTTACTCGTCACCGTGTGTTTTGCTTTTGCTTTTCAATTCCCCCTTCTGAACGCGACCGAGAGACATCAGGGGCGAGAGGGATGTTTCTTCACCAAAAGTTTCTCAACCGCGATGAAAGTCACCGCGAAGCTCCGCTGCGCGACATTTACATCATAACAACGCTAACGATCGGCCGGAAGGGGAATGACCATAATCAGTCCGTTGAAAATCCACGCGGCGCTAACAGACCGTCGAGTCGCGTCGAGTTGCGTCGCGTCGCGTCGCAGCGAGCGGCATTAACATTCCACTATCGAAGTTCGCGCGAGTAAAAAGACAGGCGTGAGTCTAGGGCAGCGTCGAAGCGAAGATAACGAGACCGTTTAACATGCAAATACCGGGTAGGAAACGAGCGTAAAACACGGGCGTAGGGTTCGGGCGCTGTGGGTCAAACAATTACGTGGCAGGGCGCGGCCGCGGCACGGAGGATCACGACCGCGAGACCGCGAGTCCACGGCAAAAACCGGTATGTTACGATGTAGGTCGGTCCCGTGGTGCTTTCTTGCCGATCCCTGAAACCCTGTCTCTCCGCCCGGTGCCACACGCTCCGCAAGTAATCCTCCGACACCGGAGGATTACGACCACCAACGCACGGCAAAAGTCAAGGAACGAGGATCGTTAAGGAGAAACAAACGTAGCGCAAGATATTGTCACGATTGCGCACCATCGAATTGGTCTTGGTTATTGTTTCGAGTCATTAACGTTACATAGTTTTCGCCTTTAAGAGAGTATTCTTTTTTAGAATTGTACATTTTAAGTCACTCTCACGATCTTTCTCCAAAGAAATCGCAAGACATTTTTGTAGAAGTCTTTTGTATATGCATTTATTGATATTTAAAGTTCTATAAATTATCTTTTTTTTTTTTAAACAAGAATAATAGAAAAGTTGCACAAGTTAGGTTTACTTTAATGATGTAGCTTTAAAAATAAGTGTCATTGGCTGATGTGATTTCGTACATTCTCCTAGTCTGGAGCAAAAAAAAAAAGTGAAAAACCACTTTGATCAGTATAATGGCTGTGATGTGAACCAAAATAAAATAGAGATCTTTATTATTGAAAAGATTCTTAATCTACAGTATTTTCCAACATTTTCATGTCTTTATCTGTCGAAAAAATCGTCGGATTTCAACAGTTTTAGATCACGTGATAGCAACACTAAAGATTTTATGGCAGAACTCGAAATATCGCGTCTATCGTTTTAAAAGATCAAGTTGAAAAGAAAAATGTGTTTCAAAAAGAATTTTACACGCTTTCTTGTACTTCCTTTCTTTTTAATGGGTTGAAAAGGTTTAAGAATATATCTGAAATAGTGAAAAGAGATCTGAAAAGATACTTGTATAATAAATGTATGTACATAACATGGAAAAATGTAACGCTGTCCAAAGTATAACGCTTTTAATAATATTTGATATATGATGCAATTTTTTACCGAAGCTTTAATTTCTAAATTACATTCTCAGAAATGCGGATTTGTATAAAAGTTTTCAATGTTTTGTTCCAAGCACAGTATCGCTCATACGATACATTTTAATTTTATGCGAAATAAATATCCCTTGACATTTGAAAGGTGAATAATATGCAGAATTACAGAAAAACAGAACCAAAAATGACCGAAATAAAAGTCCAGCAGAAAATCAATAAATCAAGTTGAACATGAAGAATAGAGAGTAAGAAATTAATGCCAAATTACAACATTTGCCAAATTGGATTATTCTAGTAGACCAAGCACGCTATTCTTGAAATATGTCAAAAAAGCAGAAAAAAGAATTTGAAATTTTATGTATGTGATATATATACATCATTTTATACATGTACTGTACAAAGGTGGGCCGTAAATCGTAATACAGATGACATGTACAGATGATTCTACACGAAAGAATAAACAAAAAAAATTCGACCTCGGACGAAAAAATTTTGAATTTTAAATTTTCCTCATATAGAATTACCTCCATTGCGGTTGTACTATTATTTGCGGTCTATCACGTATTATGCATTCAAAAAATGAAGAAAAAAAGAAAAATGATAACTTCTGAAATATTAGTTATCAAAGCCTCCCAAAGATTTCCAAGATCTGAAAAATAACGAAGACTTTCAAGACTCGAGGGACCAAACAAAACTTTCAAGAGTTTCGAGGTATCGAAATTATTGATTCGAATCCTCACGGTACTGAAAAATTTCGAATTACCGAGAATAATTATAATAATTATAGCCAGCCAATTTGTCTGGAGTGAGGCGAACGCGTTTCAACGAGGACAAAGAAACGGCAGAGGAAAAGAAAGAAGAAAAAAGAAAAAAGGAAAAACGAAGGAAAAGAAGGATACGGACGGAATTTAAAATACGAAACTGGTTAGCTAGTTGACGTAATGGAGACAACAGAGAGTAAAGAGTCGCGCAGCGGAGCAATGAATTTCCAGCTTAAGGCGCTTGAACGATAGAGGATGAATAGGGGTGGCAGGGAGAAGGGTAAACGAACGGACAAGATAGAGTGCGACTTGTCTAAGCCGAATGCAACGGTGGATGGCCCTCCGGTACGCGTCGAGCCAGTCGAAGCGGAACAAAGCGCGATCCCAATGAGCTGACTCGGCAATTCCTCGGCTCGAGTCTAGCCGAAACTAGCTCGCTAATATTACCCTGCATTCGGTGCACCGAAGCATCCAGGCTTTACAGGCGCGGATGGCCACTTGACCCGCTCGAGCCGGCCGGGTCAGGCACCGTTATTGATTCCAAAAAAAGAGAGAGAGAAAGAGGGAGGAAGGGAAAAAAACCGAGAGACGAAACCGGCGAGACGCGGTAAAGGGATTGGGCTGGCGGAAACACGACGAAACATCGAGCGGAAGAAAATCGAAGAAAAACGAGAATTCTCAGGAAAAACATTGCTCGGGAATGAAACCGGAACAGGGGAAAGCCAGCGCAGGGAATCAAGATGGACATGTTATTGTTTTAAAGCACCTGTTAGAAGTGAGTCTGAAATAGAAAAATACGCGGGAGCACGAAAAGGGAAACGTTCCAAGATCTGTTTCGCGCTATCGCTTCGCGAAATATCGAGTGAAGCGTGTCGTGCGCTCGAATGCAACTGGTAAAATAAACGACATAATGATCGAACTAATTGGAATGGCTTGGCTCGCTCGGAAAGACAAATTTTGTCATCGGGACGCGTCACACGAGCCACGGACTGAAACACGGACGACGATATAACTCGATGAAATCGATCGTAGAAATTTCGAAACGAGCAACGCCTTATCCCGTTCGAGATGCAATTTACTCCTCGAAATAAACTGGCGCCGCGCTTTGAGGGAAATCGTTTTATTCACTTTTCACGGCGACACGTTCAATTTACTTGAGGTACTTAGGTCCCTTGGTTCTTTTATTTCCAATAAGCGCGCGTGGACCCGCATTTCCCTTTAGGCGACTCGAGGTCAAACGCATCAAAGGTTCTTCCGTGTCGCGCGAAGAAACCAGAGAAATCGAAGTCGAGAAGAGGTTTGTCTGATCATTGTGAAATATTTGCCCACCAAAAAGTCGTCGACGTCGATGTATCCAGGAAAGTGTATGTACCTGCTATATGCGTCGCAAGAGATTCGCTCCGTGAATGATAAAACTTGCCACGTGAAAGACGTGAAGAGAAGCAAGACGAAAACGAAAGAGAGAAGTGGCAAGATCTGGCAGAAACTGCGTCCAGGCACGGTGCGTACACGCTCTCTACGAGAGAGTGGAAAAAGGAGAAAACAAACGAACAAATGGTAAACTAACGAAAGCGAGGTGCGAGGTGGGAGAACGAAGGAGGAGAGGTTGAGCGACTTGACCCGATTCGTAAAATGTTTCACCTGGATGAGATTGCCCCCACTCTGAGGGTGGTCCGCACCCTCTTGACGTCACAGATGCACTCGATGACGTCACGCCGCAACGTCACTGCACCGGCAGTTGGCCCGGGTAAGGGGTCGTTGCCAGGAACGTAGCGCGCTCGGGGCATCGATGACGCGCAAGTCACTTCGCGTTGCACGCGCAAGGTATTAGCCGCGTGCAATTAATTAGCAGTTCGGCATCGGGACACGTCGGTGCATTGATTACGTTTCGATGTGTTTGCCGGTGCGAGCGTCCCTCGACGCAGCGATCAATAGAAAATCCTCGCGTCATACGTATATATGTAGTATTTATACGTTCGGCTTCGCCAACGATGTGCGTCGGCAACGGTTTTCGGTGCACCCGTACTTGCGTACTTGCGCTCGCGTGAAACAAAACGAAGGCACCGCGCGCCGCGACGGAAATATTTCAATCATTTCCACGCGAAACTCCATCAACGCCGCCAAGCGAAAGGGGATCCTCACGACCGTCCCGACACGCCAACTTTCCGTAACGAGTTTATACGCTCTTCGCAATCAATAGAGCCAACATTTGTACTAGCAGCGGTACGTGCAGACATTCACATCCAGCAATCGGTATCACCGCCCCCGGCGATGCCCACCGCTGGACCACCAGCTGCTTCGTTCGCTTCGCTTCGCTTTCTCCCGGCTCCCGTGTTCCCAATAATTCCAATTGACGGACACGTCTTTCGTCCCCTTTTCCTTTCGTCTACCCATCGTTTGACTTTCGAGCGTCGCTACTTCTCCGATCGTTTTGCTTCTTTTCACTTGCCTGACAGACGATTCTCTGCCCCCTTCCTGTGATCCCTCTCGCTCGTTGGATGATTTTGGAGTAGGGTTCGGTTTCCAGATAGCCATCGTCGCTTTATGAGTGGCCTCGTTATCGAAATGCGATAATTTGTTTAGCCGACCGCAAAATCGTTCTTCCCATCCCTCGACCTAACTCTGCTCTCTCTCTCTCTCGTCGCCGTCCGGGGTTGCACACGGTTCCTGTCAGCCGTTCGGCGCCGAGTTGTCGTGCGCCTGACAGCGCTGACACTTTGGCATCATTACGATGTAAATGAACGCGAAGTGTCAATACTGGCCGGCCTCGGTTGACCTGTTCATTATTTTCCGTGGTCAGGCATCGTTCGTCGGCCAGGTGCTCGCGCGTCCGCCAGAAATACCATCCAATACGCTGTATATGATATCGAACCATCGTCGGCGGTCAACGGTGTGTCGTCGTTTTCGATACTTCCGTTGATTGCGTTCCTCTTCCACTCGTTTCTTTGCCCGATGACGCATTCAGTATTTGGATAGAAAGAGGACATTTACCTGAATTTGTTTGAAAATGTTTAAATTATCTGATTAGCTACAACCGAATGCTTTAGTTTATTGGGACAAGCGAATGATTTTGATTATTTGGCTAAGTAATTCTTTATTTCATATGGAACGTGTTGTATTTTCGTGTTTGTTTCTACGAATTCTTCACATAGTTTCTGATTCTATCGTCGACACGTCTCTTTATACATTTGTTATTCTATTTCGATAAATGAACTCAAACAAAGGATTATCTGCAAATGGCTTATTTGATTTAAAACAAGGCTTACTTTTCCTGAATTATTTTTCAAACAAAACTAACAGCGGAAATTAGCGGAAATCATTCGTCATTTCAAATTGTCTCCGCTTGTCACCTGTCTCGTTTGCACGAGTGACAAGCGTAAACTAATTGTCACTACGACGTAATATTCGCGCGATATCTACCTTAGACTATTGTCAACTAATTTTTACTGCGATAATTCCACGTCCAGAACGCTCTGGATCGAAACGAGACGTTACCTATTTTGCATTCGTAAATTAACTTTTGCTACGGTAATACTTTTCCGATGACGCGTCCCACATATACATTTCAATAGAAATAAAAGGATACCCACTTCAGTAAGATTGTAAACTAATTTTCACTACGATAATACTCATAATTTCAACGAGATGTCCAGGATACTCTGGACAGAAGTAGGAGAACATCTGCTTCGGATCGTAAATTAATTTCCGTTACGGTAGCTCGCGTGATATCCGAGAAATCTCACAGAGGGACAGAAGTAAGTTCGACCGAGGGGATTATTTTTAAGAGGTTTTATACGCGGCTCGATCATTTCCGACAGGTTCACCGGATGTCCCGAATCAATAGGGGGATCGATAGTTGTCGCTTACGTAGATGGAAGCTGTCACCGGTCGTATAGGATGGTCCCCTGGATAAAATGGATAAAGGGTTGATATACCGTCGCGCCTTTTATAAATACCGACTCATCGATCTCTCGATAAACAATGGAGAGACGATATGTTCACGTGGAAAGAGAAATGCTCGGAGATCTTAACAACTGGATCACTCTCGGCTTATTTATTGTTTCGCAATGATATCGCGCAATAGAGGCAAACTGAACGAGTGAAGTATCGAAGGGAAACAGAAAAAGAGAGAGCCAGAGAGAGAAAGAGAGAGGCGGAGGGGGGCGCATACGTTCGGAAGTCGAATGTAGGCCGTGTACGTGACAGAAACGCTTTCAGATATTATCCGATGCTATGTAAACCGATAACATATTCGTGATGGATGTGGGATAGAGAAGTATTGTTTATCATCGACGCATGTGTTGTTCGCAATGGAGCCCCGTGGACGCGTATATTTTTACACATCAGAATTATTGTATCCATCCGCGTCTAGGCGCGATAACCACAAATCGAGAACCTGATTTTAAAACATGCCACCTCAATTTGTTGTTATGTTTACTCGCGATAGAGTTAGTTACCCAGAACAGGTGAACCCACAGTGTTCACCTGTATTTAACTTTATAGCGTGTGCCGAATTTGAATGTTGATAAACTAGGAGAAAAAATCCTCTAGAGATTTGCTCGTTTTTTTACTTCGTCTTAGAGAGAATTCCTCGCAAAGAAAGAAGAAGGGACGAAAATAGTTTTTGTTTCTCATGAAAAATTCGCTTTTCATTTGCACGCAAAAAAAAAGAAAAGAACGCAGTTACTTTTTGGTTAAACTAATAATAAAGTGTATCGATTTTCCAACCATAACAAAGATGAAAAGAAAAAATAAAATTAAATGATCTTTCGCCGTATCTATATGTATATGTAAATGCTATTTCGCGTATTGACCCAAGGGTCAAGGGTTACAAAGTTTGTGTCTCCAACAGATTATGATGACACAGGATGTCATCTCCGATGAAATAACACATTGAAAACTCTACGACACTAGTTACGCTAGCCGTGTCGCGTTGTACCTGCAATTTTCGCGCCGGCATTTCCCCGGCGCTCCACCGATTCGCATATTCCTAAACGTCCGCGTTTCTCCGCGTTAGTTGCGGTTTTCCTTCGAAACTCCGATAGGAAAGTCTAGCGAGCAATAATTCAACGCGGTTCCCCTGTTCTATGCTATTTTCGAGCAACGTGGCTAGATGCAGCTCTGGATTAATTTAGCAAAGAGAATGAATCGGCGATCGGCACGATGCAGGTTCTCGCGTTCGATCACCACGCGAACGTCAGCGATAATGACCGTTATCGTGCACGGCACGTGGTTATTTCGCATGCTCCTTTATCTTGCTGCACCGGGCGATAAGTATTCGCTCGTCGATTTAGCCCGTGGGATCACGGGGGCATTGGAATCGTCGCTATCGACACAGACGGACACGTATTCTCGCGAACACAAACGCTAATCTTGAGCGTGAGAAACTTGCACATCAGCCGCAAATTACTCGTAATTTATCGCGTTAAATCGCGAGTATCATTACCGATTTTCAGACTTGGGTCATTAAATTTAGGTTCAATATTATATATACGGGGTGTAACTTATACATCTGAAATATAACTTTTAAATTACGTAGTTAATGAATCAATCCTCATTCAATAAGGATTATTTGGTGCCCAGTAATGTAAATTCCATAAATTGGCATTATCGTGATTGGTCAATGTTGCTTCGTTTGTAAACAATACATTTTCTAAGAAATTTTCATCAACACTTGCTTGCATTAAAAATATGCATGGTCCAATTAAAAAAAAAAATAAAGATGAACTTGGGAATCCCTTAACATAAAAAATTGATACGCCACATTTTACCTCCCACAAAACCGTACAATTTCGAACAATTTTTCATTAGATGCATAATTTAAAAGTTATTTCAGATTTCACCCATAACTACGGGAAACATTATGTTCATAGATATAATATAATAGTATTTGTATTAATATAATTATATAATAATATAATATGTAATAATAGATATAATATAATGATATTTATAATATAATAGTATTTGTATTAATATAATTATATAATAATATAATATGTAGATAATAATATAATATAATAATATAATATATAATAGATATAATAATATAATATGTAATAGATATAATATAATAATATTTGTATTATAATACGATAATTATAGCAATATATAAATATGAAGAAACAGAGTATGTATAGTAATAAATAATTAACGTATTATATAAATATATAAATATTGATAATAAGAAACAGAAATTAGACGCAAGAAAGATTAAAAGAAATCAACCTTCTCGGAAAATATATTTTTTGAATGAGATCAAGTAAAATATAATGTAACAATCTGTGGCAAGAATCTAGCAAGAGTATAAAAATTAATAACTGTTAAGAGAGTTGGACAATTCGTTCTGCTATTGATAATTTTATATAGAAAGGATCGATTTGAAATAATTCTGCAGTTCTTTTTGCAGTCGATAACCGCATAGTGAAAAGCAGCTGCGAGTAATTACAATCGGTTTCACGACACATTACCAATATTTCAAAAGCGGCAAATCAGAGAAATTCTTGTTAAATTTTCTTTCAATGGAAATTTTATATTTATCACACACGTACGATACCAAATAATGAATGCACATTCTAAATACGGTCTAAATAATGTACAATGCGATAACTTAATAGTTTGTTAGAGAAATCAGGGATTGAACGAATTTGACGAAAATGCAAGAGTATTTAGCATGATATGCTTCCCTACATAGATGACATCGTCAAGCTACTCTGGAAAGATCGAAGAATTCTGTCTTGTATAACTTTTCAAAGAATGATAACTCAATATAATCCAGTCTCGTATCAAATTGAATTTCAACTCTCGGACAGCGGATATTCCATCGGTCAGTGAATGCAGCATTCGATTCGTTCTGACCCATATTAGAGATTAAATTTCTCTTGGTTATTGAAGAAAGAAAAATTGAAAAAATGCATTACATTTGTATAAACATATAATATATTATATGTATAAACACATATAACACATTATAATATAACATATTATATATACAAACACTGAAACATATAAGGTGACTCTGATTAAGTAGAGCAGACTATAAAGATAAAAAAAAAAAAAAGAAATTGTCGAGGAAAATAACAAATGGTGCAATCGGGTAGGAAATGATTTCGATTTTTGCATGAAGAATTGCCCGATTGTATCGCTAGTTATATGTACAACATCGTGCACAAGTTTGGAGCACCTGTCAATTTCACATTGAAAAAACAAACAGACACACAACTTCTACATCGTTTTAATCATAAATACAATTTATAAGTGAATGCCAATATTTTTAGCAACATAAACCTATTTGCCGGAAAAATACTTCATCCTAAATCGACAGAATTCTCCCAACTTTTAAACGTGTATGTAATACAAAAATAACAAATAAGAATGAACAATACAAAAGCAAAGACCATAATTTAAGATGAATTATAAATTGAGACGCTCAATTTCTCAAGAATTGACACAGCAACGACCTGAAGAGTTGATCAATCGGGAATCTTATAATTCGGTATTTACGAACTGGTTAAAGCGAAAATCAAAAACAGGATAATCTCGCGGAGGCGTGAAGGGAAAAAGAGAGAGAGAGAGAAAAAAAAATACATGAAAGGCGACAGCGCCGACCGGAGGAGAGTCGGTTTATCTGGCTGACGCGACGTTAACTTTTTAATAGAACAATTTGTCGCGGCAGCGATGGGAAATGCTGGCACATAAACCTCGTTATTTTGGTTACGTTATCCCGTTCACGTGCAGGCCCACGTGGCGCATGCAAATGTTATCGCGGCGTCGATCCGACGCCGGGCATCAATTCTGCCGGCGATGCGTGCAGGTGACGCGACGATTTCCCCACGCTTCGAGTAAGTATTCTGCCGCGCGCGCCATACGCGTATC